GATGAGAACAGAAATTGCGCGGCAGCGGGAGGCCTCATTAGCTAAAGTAGTACCTCAGGTTAAGAACGGTTTCAGGTTAAGAACGGACCTCTGGAATGAATTAAGTTCATAACCAGAGGTAGGTACCACTGTATTTGGATCCTGCCCATCTGACTAGGTTGCCTCAGCCACTGAGCAGTTTCCAACAGATATGACAACATAAGCAAACATTAAACATTTAAAACTTCCCTATACAGGGCTGCCTTCAAATGTCTTCTAAAAGTTGTATAGTTGTTCATCTCCTTGACAACTGATGGGAGCACAGACCCTCTGCCTGGTTCCCTCTAACTCCATTTCTCACAGTGAAGAAACCACCAGCACTCTTAACAAACTATAGCTCCCAAGAATCTGGGAGGGAGGGCTTTAAAATGTATGTTGTGTACACAGACGTAATTCAAGGTTTCTGCATCAATTATGATTTTTTCTGAATAATCAAAAGATGAAGCTTCCGATACTTAAGTGTTTTGTTTACTAAAAAGGGATAGACTAGAAAAGCTGAATATATCTGCAATTTTCTACTCAGAAGAACTGAATTCAGATACCCAGTGATCTGTGCACTGGAGGAAAGGGAATAATAAAAAGGCCCCATTTGGTCATTCTCACATTACAATATGTGCAAGGTTTTGGGGATTTGAATGCTAATTTGCATATACAATATGAAGCTGGAGTTATAAATGAATATAAGATTCATTCCCTGTAGTTAAAATTTTATTTATTCTTAATAGACTGACATATCTTCTTGCCAGCTTCAAAGAACTGTAAAATTAGCTGAACACATTCCACCACCCCATACAAAGAAAATTTCTTTTGAGTCCAAAGCAACTCCCTAAAGCAGTTTATGATATATCATTGGAGACTCTGAATAGAAAAGATTACCCTAAAATAAAATAAAAAACACATCTCCTGACCAAGGCCTTGAGTATGTTGAATGCTGCTATTTGAATCCCAGCAGGGCCACCTCTATCCTTTAGCAAAATGAAGCAATTGCCTTAGGTGATTTTTCTTTATTTACCTACTGATTTATTACATATTCTTCACCCTAA